TATGTACTCAGATTGGTAGGATACAGAAAATCTTTTTTCATCAAACATAACATTTTTCACATATATGTTCTTCACGATAGTGCTATGTTGAAGATGCGAAACTGCCCTGTCAAGAATTACGTGTTTTCAAGCCAGTGTTTAGGATACCAAAATGTCCCTGGTGCCAGGGATTCAATGTGGCCTGTAACATTCACTGATGGTTATAATTTTGTATCCACTAAATCAAGTTTGTTTGATATGTAACTATTTTGGGGAGCTATAGAAGCAGGGAACTACACTTTACAGCTGGTAATGCCATTTAATGTTTACAGCAACCTCCTGGCATACATGTAAACTGGGAACTAGGAGCTAGTATAGAGTCCAGGTCAGCATAATCCACAAGAAGAACTCTCTGGAGTCAGTACTGGGTGTCCTGTCCCGATGTTCTACTGGTTAGGAATGGTTAATTTCAGACCGTAAATGAACATGAAGAAATGTTGCCATCTTGTTATGTTAGATAAGCATTTTAACTGACTGATAGTAATAACGTTTCTATTTTAATGTAGGATTATCATGTTTTGATATGATTGGCAAAAGTTTTTTCCACTTGGCTCATTGTGCTATCGGAGTTGTCAAACTTCCTTGGTTTATTTTTGGACAGAACACCCCTTGATGTAGGACTACATGAACTCGTAGAACTGTGAATTGCTTCTTCATATCTTCTGGGTTTATCTCGTTCATGTTTTGGTTCTTGATATTCTGGGGTATGTCTGCCCATTGCTGAAGCTGATACATGATAAATAAATGTCAATGTTTCCATGGCAGCTACTGTACTTTTTACAGTTGTCTGATAAGGCTTATTGCAAATAAGTTAAATAGAAACATCAAGAATATAAACAATGATGTCCTCATGCCTGGCTTGATGTCTTACCTTATATGATCTGTTCAGGACTTGCGTATGAATAGTGCCATAATCAACCATACATATATCCCCAAATTGTCTCCTGCCATCCTTTTCAGTGACTGTAGTGTTGTTATATATGGACAGTTTTTATTTGAGAAAGTAGATCAAACAAGATTCTACTAGACTCAGGCTCATACTCGTAGCTCAAGTCACAGAATATTATAAGGAAACTTTATCACGTCAAGAAGTCTTGTTTTATCAACCTTGAATAGCTAAACTAGTGGTTAGTAAGGTGAGAATTCTGTCGTTAGTCAGGTCACCTCCCTGGTTGTCACCACGCAAATACCAGCCATGTCAGGTAATCGTTGCGATCCCTTCATCTTCGATTGCTTTGTTTGTTTGTCTGTTTGTTTGTTTGTTTGTTTGTTGTTTAATGCCGTGCTCTGCAATATTCCAGTTATCTGACAGTGGTCTGTAGATAATCAAGTCTTGACCAGACAATTCAGAGATTGACATAATGAGCATCTGTCCACGCAATTGGGATATTATGAAATCATCACCAAGTCAGCAAGTCTGACCACCCGATCCCGTTAGTCACATCTTGCGACAAGCATAGTCGCTTTTTATGGCAAGTATGGGTTGCTGAAGACCTATCCTAACCTGGATCTTTACGGGTCCTTCATCTTAGAAGCTGCGTTAATACTGAGACACCTTATTAGTGTCAAACACAACACCTTTTTGTAATTCAATCCTATTGTTTTTCTTATATAATAATCCAATTTATTTAATTAAATATATTTTCCTATTATAAATATTCATTGTATCCTACTTCCACAATGATATGTTTCCATAGAAACAATGGCACAGCAATATCACCGTGAAAGATTGAGAACCTAAGAACAAGGCGTATGTTCAGTGAAGGACATTAACTTTACAACTTTTAACAATTTCATCAAGAGACGAAGAGGTCAGGAGTGTTGAAGTATTCCTATCTTTGGAAATGAATGCTCCAATCTGTGAGGTGGGTCGTCTCCTTAGTTTGAGGAAGTTAACCCAAGATAGAATCCATCTGTCTAGCACTGTAGAAGAACCGTGTAATCAGATTGGCTTACCATTATTAAGTAAGGAACGACCTGACGCTGTACACTAGCTGGCTTTTTCTTTGTATGTCACATTGAGAATCGGTTCTTGCCGTGTAGTTGTTGATGACTGTCAAGGCCATATTGTGTGAATCAACGGACACTACACAACACTAATATGAACACTAAATCACTGGTCTGTGGGGGATTTGTAGGCATGAATCCATAGCTCACCTGGCTTTGGGTGTCTTTTGAGCACAAGATTACATCAGTTCAAATGTCTTTGGTTATCAGTTTGGCATGGGATCAATATAATCTCATCTAAATGGAGACTAGTTTTTACAGTCTGGTGCCAATTTTCAGAGCATGTCTAGATGTTACATGTGGTGGTTTGTGTGAACTGGAAACATTGTTTCTGTCACTAGGGTAGTAATTTATTGGTAGATTCATCCAGATCATTAAACTGGAGTTAGCAGATGCCTTAAGTGTTGTTTAATGACCTGAGTCAAACTTACAGGGATTGCCAATTTACTTTGGTCATGACATGAATCCAAGCTGACCTGACTCGTTTCTTTGAGAATGGTACTTAGAAACTTTGATAACTATAACCCCATTGATTAGAGTGAGTGAGTAGAACAGGTACCTGTTAATAAATCATATTTAGTCATATTCATATCATCCAAATACTTATTTTAGACAATCAACACAAATTTTAGACATATTTTATTTGTCATTTCGACATATTTTTAGACATAATTGGACATGTATACTGTTTTTTTTTACCATGATACTGTAGAGAAGTCACACACACAGATTCGTTATTGTTATTTGTGGGTCATTTTTGCCTGAATTCACAAAAAACAAACCTATGCCATATGGGCGATATTGAAATTCCAGAGGAAAGAGAAGAAAGTGGGAATATGGCCTTCATTAGTGTAGAGAGGGTTAAAAGGTTTCTGAGTGAAGTTAAGGACATGTTCAGAGATAGACTCTCTCAAACAATGCTTGATATAGTTTACATGTGGTTCTTGTTCTCCTACACTGCACTTTATGGATTTGTTGCCATTTGTAATTTTATTCTTTGTGGCCTATAGTGTGCTGCAGAGTAGAATTTGGTCAAGTATGCTATGAATAAAATATTCTGTTTTGTTTGCTTTGAGAGTATTGTGATAATTTGAAATTACAGTTAGTATGGAAAGATGAATCAAATGGGATTGTGGTTATATTTGTGGGAGTCAGATGCTTTTGTTGAAGGACTAGGCAATGATTACTACATGAGCCATTTACTAATTATGTAAAGAATGAAATGTATTTGTCCATGTCACTTTGACATGGAATGACACTTGCTTTCAGGGAAATGAAAACAGTAGAAAAAGTTCCACAATGGTGATTACAAAGGGGGGTTAAAAATATTGAGGAATCAGAACGTTGTCATTATCAATAAATGAGTTTCAATGATTTGCATTGCAAGAAAGATTAGATCTGTAGGGAATGGTTACCGGTAGTCATGTTAGTCATTAATTGAATAAAAGCAACAAAACCCTTTCTATTTTCAATTGAAATCTCGCTAAATGCAGAGTCGATTGTATGATTCCGACTATATCATGAGCATGTGTTTGTGAATCACTATCAAATAGTGCCAGTACAAGGTGTTTGCGAAAAGGTAAGCGTATCCTGCACCACCGGTGGCACCTGTGACAAACACATGCAAATGCATGCATAGAATGTATTATGTCAATATGAGAAATAAAGAAATGAGATTTCCTAGATATATCTTGATAGCTTGACTGGCAAGGGTAAATGAACTTGAGACGTGTTGGTGATTGTAGTTTAAGTAACGGTTCTAGACTAACATTTAGTCTATGAAATCTTATATTACATAATATCCTTGACACTAAAAGGAAAAGCAATTTCCCTATGCTGATTTCATTGTGGAATAGAGCTGGCTAGACTTGCTTTTGTATACTTTTCTAGATTGTGTTTTTTTGCCATAAAATAAATATACAAATGTATTCCACAGTCATGGTGCAGGACTATAACTATAACTCCTGCACCTGAAGAAAGTATGAATATGTATATATTACAGTCATTGTGTGACATGACAAAAGCCAAAATATTATATCATTTTACAAGTATTTTTCAATTTATTATGTTGTGATAACAAATTCCAAACATTTTTATGCTCTATTTAATCTCTTAATGACTTAAATTGATGTGATTAAAAGAAAATGAAAAGCAATGTATACTTCTAATCCCAGCATAATTAGTCTTTTGTGATCTTTTTAAGCCCTTTTGAAATTCTTAATAACTTTTTATCAAACTGACCGGAAAATATTGTATAATGACTGAAATATAATGGCTTTTTGTAAATTGCCTAAGTGAAATTTTCAGTCATTTTTCACATTGACTGTAACATGTATATACACACAGCTCTGAAAGTTTCTCAGTTTAGCGGTGCATGGCACACAGATACATAACACACATACCTGGTACTGATAACAGTTGTCATATTAATCATTACGTTTCTGTATATTATGATCAGACTTAATGTAGAATATAATTGGAAAATTTCAAAAATCACCATGCAATCACAGACCGCCTCCATGGTCTAGTGGTAGAGCAGACCAGACAATCCAGTGATTGATATTGTGAACACCATCAGGGTACCAGGATATGCTATCAACCAAGTACTGAACTTGATCAATTAATCCAGCAGATTGCCTGGGATCAATTCTAACCCAGAATCCCCACAGGGTTCAAACAATGTACAGTAAACTCCGGTTATAACGAACTCAAAGGGACCAATGTCTTTTGTTCGTTACAACCAGAGTTTGTTCTAAGCGTTTCAACTAAAGCATACCGCAAATGACTGGGACCAGAAACAACAGTTCATTAAATCCGTCACTTCGCTGTAAGCGTGTTCGTTATAAATGTAGTTTACTGTATGTCAATCATATTTTACTGATGTAAATGATAAATCATACACTATTGCTGGTGTATATTTTGCCAATATTTCATACATAATGCCAATGTTTCAGGGTCGAGGAGGTCTTGGTTCTATCTTCGTCTGGGCATCAGGTAATGGTGGTCGTGATGGCGACAACTGCAACTGTGATGGCTACACCAACAGCATCTACACCCTTTCCATCAGCAGTGCAACAGAGAATGGGAAGATCCCTTGGTACTCCGAGGCCTGCTCATCAACACTTGCAACCACATACAGCAGTGGCTCTGGTGGAGAGAAACAAATTGTGAGAATATATATTTTGGTTATGTTGGATCTTAACCATCATGATTCTTCCAAAGTATCAGTTGGCATTGATCCATGTCCATGAACCTAATGATTATCTTCAGAGAAACTCTTAAGAGACACTGATGTAGAATGTAAAACTTTTCATATTCTGTCGTGTTAAAGGGTTGGCACCGCTGGCAAATTTGATTGATTTGTCAAGAGTTTTGAGATGGGGTATAAACTGTGAGTGACCTATTGCCTGTAGTGAAAATATTCTGGAGCCAATAAAGTAGTTAAACTCTGTCTTCTGGATTCTTGGGAATCTCAATAATTGTGTATACAAGGCGCTCTAGGAACATTTCTCTAAAACAATTAATCTATAGTTCAAAAATTTTATTAATCTGACAATTTCTCTTTAATAGTACTGACCTTTTTCACAGAGCTTCACTGTATATACTTCCAATCATAAACGATCATTTAGATTGTTTCTTGTTTAGAAATGATTAAACAGTGTGCACTTGCAATGAACAATCACCAGTTAAGAAATGCACTTGCAATAGACAATCACCAGTAAGGAAACACACTCGCAATAGACAATCACTAATAACTAATAACAATATGCATTTGCAGTAAACAATCACTAATAAGGATATGCACTTGCAACAGACAATCACAAAAAAGGATATGCACTTGCAACAATCACTCATAAGAAAATGCACTTGCAACAGATAATCACTAATAAGGATATGCACTTGCAACAGACAATCACTGAGAAGGATATGCACTTGCAATAGACAATCACTTAGAAGCAAATGTACTTCCAATAGACAATCACTGAGAAGGATATGCACTTGCAACAGACAATCACTGAGAAGGATATGCACTTGCAACAGACAATCACTAATAAGGATATGCACTTGCAACAGGCAATCACTAATAAGGATATGCACTTGTAACAGACAATCACTAATAAGGATATGCACTTGCAACAGGCAATCACTAATAAGGATATGAACTTGCAACAGACAATCACTAATAAGGATATGCACTTGCAACAGACAATCACTGAGAAGGATATGCACTTGCAATAGACAATCACTTAGAAGCAAATGTACTTCCAATAGACAATCACTGAGAAGGATATGCACTTGCAACAGACAATCACTGAGAAGGATATGCACTTGCAACAGACAATCACTAATAAGGATATGCACTTGCAACAGGCAATCACTAATAAGGATATGCACTTGTAACAGACAATCACTAATAAGGATATGCACTTGCAACAGGCAATCACTAATAAGGATATGAACTTGCAACAGGCAATCACTAATAAGGATATGCACTTGCAACAGGCAATCACTAGTAAGGATATGCACTTGCAACAGACAATCACTAATAAGGATATGTACTTGCAACAGACAATCACATATAAGGAAACACACTTGCAACAGACAATCACTGAGAAGGATATGCACTTGCAATAGACAATCACTAATAAGGAAATGCCTTTTGTTGCCTCAGGTAACCACAGATTTACGTAATGGCTGCACTGAGAACCACACAGGGACATCAGCCAGTGCTCCCCTGGCTGCAGGAATCATTGCCCTGGCGCTACAGGCAAAGTGAGTAGTAGACTTCAGCTTGGAAAGGGTTATACCCCGCCTGGATTAACAACAGTTATACATTGTCTATTCATCATCATCTTGCTCATTGTTTTATCCTTCAAAAAGGTCATTCAATAGTCAGTTGCTGTGGTGGTAATAACTGAAACCTCTGTAGCCAAAAGAAGATTGTTCATAGGAGTCACTCAACAATCAAATACATAACAATATTGGTAGAAGTATGATAATGTTCTACTCTGTTGCAGCCCTCATTTAACATGGCGGGACATGCAGCACCTTGTAGTGGAGACAGCCAAGCCTGACCACCTCATATCTAATGACTGGGTTGTAAATGGTATTGGTAAAAAAGGTAAGTCAGTGCCATACACAGAAGGCTTATATTTCACACACTGGTTGTCAGTCATGATAAGAGAGTGGAGTTTAATCCACCTTTTCCCAGTATCTGGCAATGTTGCAAATTGAGCACAAAAAATGCAATAACTTCACATTTTGCACAAGTTTTAGAGATGACAGAAACAATACTTTGAAACAGACATAATCTTTTTGCATACCTGAATAGAAAGTTCAAGTGATCTTTAAATGTGGTGCATTGTTTGATGTCTACCCTCCAATGTCTTGTTGTTCATCTTCTCAGACACCACAAGGTCTATGTACCAGGAAGTCTGCATAGATAATCCCAGCATTTGCTGTTTCTAAAACATGCTCACTAGGACATCATGGCAGCCAAACTGAAAATAATTTATTTTCTTATTTTGGTATTCTTTACATGTATTTTTATTTATTTATTTATTAGGCAGTAAGTATGTAAGCCAGTTATCCCTGTATTACTGCAATATAATGTAAATTCAGTGATGAAATACAAGGGTTGATTGATAAGTTCTGAGCCTCACATAGAACGAGTAATAGTAATGGTGAAATCTTTTGTTATGGACATTACATGATGTCATATAGGTTTATCCACAAATAATTCCTTTCCATGCCATGGTGAAGAGGTGAGTTTAAGCATGGAAGGAAGAGCCTTGAAGACGATCCCTATCCTGGAAGGCCTTTGACATCAGCAACACCAGAAATGATCCCGAGAATCCATAATATGGTGATGACCAAGCGGCAAATGAGAGGGCATCGTATTGCTAGTTCAGTAGGCATTTCCCATTAGAGACTACATTTCATTATCACCAAAACCTTGGCAATGAGGAAAGCATCACCTTGTTAGGTTCCAAAGCTTCTGACATCTGATTAAAAATGCACACAGGCACGGCATGTCTAGTGATAATTTAGCTCTGTTTCAAGCTGACCCAAAAAGGTTCTTGCAGTGAGTTGACACTATAGATGAAACTGGTTCCACCATGTCCAGACTGAGTCCATACAACAATCAAAAAACAGTGGAAGCATTTGATATCTTCACCACCAAAGAAGGCAAAGACTGTCCAATCAGCAGGAAAGGGTGTGGCCTCTGTTCTGGGGATACTGAGGGTGTCATCATCTTCCAAAAGGCCAGACAGTAACCAGAGCAAAATATTCTGCATTTTTTAGACTTTAATGGGATAAAATTAAGACATGGGAAGCCGAGAAAAGGTGTGCTCTTCCGTGAGGACAATGCACAAGTACTCAAATCAGTCTTTGCAATGGATACAATCCAGAGTGTGGCTTTAAAATCCTTCAGCAGTCACCATATCCTCCTGATCTGGCTTTGTCAGAATTCCATATATACCCAAACATGGAGAAAACTCTAGTTCCAGGTGTTCGGAACCCATTTTGAATGAACGATGTCATAGCAGCTGCGGGGAACTTTTCGTCCACCCAAGAGAAGGACTTCTACTAAACAGGGATTAAATTCCTCCATCATCATGTGGAAGGGGATTATATTTGAAAATTTTTAATGTAATGTCTTCTATGTGAGGCTCAGAACTTATCATTCATCCCTTATGTATTCTGTTGCAACAGCAGTTATCTCTTTTAATATATGCATAATTTTTTACCCTTGCATGGATCAGATCTGATAGAATGATCCAGAAAAAAATCAGATCAAGGTCACAACATATTTTTGTATATTTTTTCTCTTCATTTTTTGTTCAGTTTGATAGATCAAATGAACTGCAAACAGTTCCTTATCAGAGATGAACTTCATGTTTCAGTGAGCCATTCTTTTGGATTTGGACTGATGGATGCAGCCGCCATGGTACTGCGTGCTCGCAACTGGACTACCGTCCCTGCTCAGCAGATCTGCGAAATCAGATCAACAGTTACAAACAGGTTTCCAGATATTTAGTGAAGGATAAAGCCCTGTATGAGATTCTCTCAAGTCTTACTGAACAGTTGACAGCTGAAACTTTTTTTTTAATAGTATCTCAAGATCAATTTAAGGTAAAAACTTGACCTTGTCACTTTTAGGACTGAAGTTTTCCTTTAGTTCAGGAAGATTTGAGCTGAATGTTCTTAATGTTGTATTTTGGACCTTTTCTCTTTGGTTTATGTGTGAAACATAGTTAGATAAGTAGAGTGAAGAGATCATCACTTGCTTGATAACGGTGTTAGAACCTTCACCGAAACGTCGCTCCTAATTGTAATAAAGAAGTTGTTCATCCATATATCTTATCCTGACTTAGAGTGAAGAGACTCTAAAACTTCTTGAAATTAACAAAAAGGTTGAATCCATAAACTGTCCTTGAATAGAAATGTCAGATAACAAGGCATGACTAATACCAGTTTAATATTTCATACCAAAAGTTTTTAAAAAAAAAGAAAGAAACTGACTCATTCATAAATCTTCTTTAGGACCAAAGCTAAGGATAAGTCGGTTTCTGATATCAAAAGATCATCAAAGATGTGCACTATTCATGTTTGGTATGTCAAGTTTAAACATTTAAATACACCTTATGCTCATTTCTCAACAGACAAGTTCCAATGAATGGCAGAATTATGGTGCCAATGGACACAGATGGCTGCATGGGCAATGTTAACCATGTGAAATTCCTGGAGCATGTGCAAGCTCGCATCACCATGTCATCTAACCGACGAGGAGAGCTTCAGATCTTCCTGACCTCCCCACAAGGGACAAGGTCTACCCTCCTTGCCAAGAGAACAAGGGACAGCTCTCGAGAAGGATTCAATAACTGGGCTTTTATGACAACACACAACTGGGGCGAATATGCAAATGGAACATGGACTCTCGAAATAGAAAATGGTGCAAGTTCGTGTGAGTAATGAATTTTGTGGTTTTGATGATATTTCTGTAGATAATGATATTAACTGTCATCCCACTGGCATTGTAAGCTTATTTGATATAGTCAAGTCATGTTGGTTTGTGATACATTTTGCATGATCTGTGGTCAGATGTGAGGTAACCACCGTGCTTTGCTCACTGGCTATGTAAAGGGAGATAACTATGTTCAACCAGTGTGTTGATGGCTAAAATGGCCTTTATTTGTGTAATTTAAGAAATATTTTAACTGATGTTGCTATATGTAATTGTTTGACTTAAAGTTATATTACTATTGATTTCATCGTTTGTGTTTTACTTTTAAGATTGTTAAATAATATCTTGTAGAAAACACGACCATTTTGTCAAGTACATACATTGTAATTTCTTTTTCTTCTCAGATATTTTCTTAAAGTAAAATTTTAATCATAGTTCACAAATTGAAATCCAATGATGTTTTTTAATTATATCAGCAGAGAAAGTGGAATCATATGTCCAAAATATGTTTTCAATTCAAAGTACTTGACACTCTGAGAGATAAAAATGCATTAGAGATAATTGCAGAATGATTTAGTTGATTGGCTTAGCATGGCAGAAAAAAAGCATTTGACAAATTCTCATGAATCTGGTGCATGTCAGCATGAGCAGAACCAAACACATCCACCATCACAACCATCTTTTGAGCAGAACCAAACACATCTACCATTAAACCATCTTGTATCTCTTCTTGGGACTGTTATGTTGCCATAGATATCTGGGATCGTAAATTTTCAAATAACAATGGTTTTTCTACAGGACAAAAAAGGAGACAGCAATTAACAGTTTTGAACGTTCACTGAAAGGTTCATTAGTAATGTTCATTTTTCAAACCAAATGGTAACTAATGGTGAGAGGGTTGTCATATCTGATGATGGATCACTATTACATAAGATCCAACTTATATGACAATTTAGAATTTGGAATGGTTGGAATTTATATGGAAAGCAGTTTTGTTTTGTTGATAGAGTTGCTGTTTCTGTTTCAATATTGTTCTATTGATAAAGTTCAGTTGGTTCACTTTGGTCATAGGAATAAGCCATGTGAATTTTCGGTCCTTTGGAAACAAAAGATCTGTCACTGGTGTTCATCACATTGTTTCTGGTATCCATGTAAATATTCACTGGCAAGTACAAGGTTCAGTTAAGAGAAATAGTGATTGAAGCAGTTGTAAAATATTCTTCTCGTTATGACTTGTATCTTGGCTCCATCTGACGCAAATAAAATGTGAATTGAAAAGGGATTACCTACTAAGTAGTCTAGTAAACCAAAATCAACTTTTTATTTGCAATACTGAAATCGGAAACATAGAGATCCACGTGTGAGGTCTGATTAATATGTTTGTAGTATTCTGATCAACGCAATATTGACAATGTGGTCATTTATGCCGAAATATTTAGTATCAGGTACCATATTTTGCTTGATGACAAAGGATGTCACATGTACGTCTTATTGAGGTACATGTTAATATTAGTGTTAACTCCATTTCTAAAGACAATGTGAAGTTTCACAGATAGATGGTATTAAATTGTGAATGACCATGTGTTCATTGATGTAAGTACAAGTTAAACAATACAGAAAAGTTGCTGTATGGTATTAGAACAATGTTCTGTACAAAGGCAGCAGTCAGTCGTAGATAACTGTGTGCCTGTGTCAGACAAACTGTGGATCACATTATTTTGTGCAAATTGGGAATTATTTGAAAGTCCTAATCTTCACAATTTCCAAAGTACTTTAACATTGGATTAAATGCAAATACGTAAAACTAACTATATAAGCTGTTTTCTTTTTATTTGTCCAGTTGTTATTGAAATACAAGTAACCCTTGCAAATATTAACCGTTAGTTATAATTTTGTAAATTCAAATTTGGGTATCTGTAATGACACTGTTGACAGGGGCAGAAAATTGGAAGGGAATGCCAAGATAACTCCCTAATTCCCTATGATCAATGCCCCGTCTGCCCCATGTGTGTTAAGTTGATTTGACTTGGAAGAATGGTCACTTGGAATGTTTAGCTCATCTTCCCGAGGCAAGCATGTCCACTAGTCTATATCAAAGCCTAGTTTCTACCCTTTCCACATCAAGCCCACTTTTCTTTGCTCAATCAGGCACCACCTTGCGTAGATGACGAGTTGTGGCCCTTGTAATGAAAACGGGATATCCAATCAGATTGTTGTTTCTCTTAGCTCGTATGGCTTCACACAGATGGCGACTACTGAAGACAACAACATAGTTGAACAGATAGTGATAACATTTGCAATTTCATCCCCGACAGACAGACAAGGGCCAGATTGAAAATAAATAAAGACAGGCAGTGTTAAATCACTTTCATACGAATGTGTACAAGTCTTGTTTAATGACTGTTAACTTGGGCTAATTGATTTATAACTTGGAAAGACTTAGAAAATACCTGTTTTCGCTTAATTGTTGAAAGAACTTCAGCACAAATTCGAGAAACTATATGGAAGCAGCCATGTCTTCACAACCTGGATGTTGATTTTATGAAACATTCTCTGATAGAACTATAGTCCAATCATACTTAGCGCAGGACATTTGGCTTGGTGTGGCAATGGTGGAAACTACACTGTGATAAATAGGCTCATGGACATTCTTGCCTTGGGAAGATGTGTTCAGCTAAGCTGTGAATTGTTTGATTTGATGTGTTTTCAAACCCAAATGCCACAAAAATCTGCAATATTGCTAATGCAGGTTAAGGCACTATTTCTTCTAAAACTCACTCATACCCCAAACAGGCAAACCATGTATGGTTACTTTGTGTCCCTTGTACAAGTCTAGAGATGGAAATGAGAAGAGTTCAGGCTGCTTGAGCTGAGAAGGGGTGAGAATGGCATGGGGAGTATTCTTTCATCGTGTCCTGTAAGAGAGACTAGGAAGGCTGTAGCTGATCATATCATCCCATGATTGATTCCCCACATGGGTACAATGCATGAAGCCATATTTTGGATCCCCCATTGTGATAAGGCTGGAATATAGATGAAACAATCATAAGACCATACTTACTTGTACTCAATATGAGATTCATTATATGGTGCTAGGCAAAAATGCAGTACACAGGACAGCTTCCTCCATTTTGTTAAGGGATGTGCACGAGCTCCTTCCTCTGTAGTTTTACAGTTTCTAAGTCTTTCAGAAGCTATTTTTTGCTGCTGCACTTCAATAACAGGGCGTTTGAGGTGTTTGCCCTCTACACAACGGTTTGAATAAAATGCTTTAGCAAGTGAATGTAATATTTGGATTACCAAAGTTAGGAATCTTTTCTTGTACCCTTTCAATTTTTAAAGTCCATTTTTCAATGTTTATGGATTTTTCTGATAGCTTATCCTGTTTACAGGCAATCAACAACCGCAAAACTAACCATCCTATTTTAGTTGAAATATCAATTTTAAGGTTTAATCATATTACACCATGTAAATGCAAGCAGTCATTTCTTCTGCTTATTTTGAGCTTTAAGACCCTTTTATTCAATAGTAATGCTGTTGTGTGCGGCCATATTGGTAGTATCAAACAAACATGGCGGTTAGGTGTCTGATAAAATGCATGTGTACCTGGTCTGACTATAGCGGAATTGTATCACCAATTAGCTTAGGTTTCGCTGTAGTCAGCAGCTGTTTCCTTTCGGTGTCTGAGTGTTAGAGCTTACTGCAGGGTTACTCTGCGAGTTATGTAAGGGGTTATTCATTTACTTACACTGTCTTCAGAGTGTCTTTGGTATTGTCTCCAAGAAGGCTGTTCAACAGTCTTTCTCAGGCCTTTAGATCTGTGTCATTTGAATTTTGTAAAGAGATAGGGCATTGTTTCCACAAAGAATGTGATACTTCTGCTCTATCTGCATGCACTGCACATACTCGTCTGTCACACACTAACAATTTATCCAAATGACAGGTGATCTTTTTCAAGTTTCTATTTTTTTTAATAAGTAATATCAGCTTTACGATGACTATTTGGCCAAACTGAAAGCTCTTGTATGATTAATGCAAGATTCTCTTTCCAGCAAAGTTAGATGATAGATTGTGCAGGCCTTAGTAGACATATCATTGTTGAAGATGATGATGAGAAGCAAACTGTATTCATTTCATTATTAAACTCATCTCAGAGTTGTCGTTTGCTTTTATACTCATGAAAAGCTATTAATCTTTTGCAATTTAGTTGTTTGAGTAACCTATACTCACAGAGGCCAGTGCCAAATAATGCATGACATTCTTATTTGCTATCCTTCAGCTAATGTATACCTATTCATGCTTCTTGAGAGAAATTGAAACTTTATTGCCAAAGTTACAAGATACTCACATTGCAACATTATTATTTTATTTCTGGGGCCAAAATGCAAATTATTAAAATTACAGTATGTTACTAAAAAGGTCACTGAATCTATGTCATTATTATGGGAATATAGCAACAGAGTTCGTCTGTCCGTCCGCTTCTCAAAAACTAATTAAGTAAGAGAAATGAAATTTTACACACTGATGTTACTGGTCATGATCTCCAATGAGTTAAAAAATGTGTGTCATAAATTCATTTTTTCGCAGAGTTATGGCTCTTGCTCTGTTCTTTTCAACCTACCGTATACTACGTGAAACAGGGACAAGTTTTCTCAGAAACTACCGAAGTTGCATGAATTAAAGTTAGCATACTTATCTACTTGTCAAGACCTGTCATTTATTTTTTAACAGCGTTATGGCCCTTGATGCATGTTATTTTACTTGGTGCATAGTGTCTGCGGTGGGAGAAGTTTTCTCAGAAACTACTAAAGTTACCTTATCTGAGAGATACTTATCAAGACTGAGTTAATTTTTCCAGAGAAGGGGTCTTTTGTGTGTAAAAATTTCACATTTAGTCATTTTTTCTGATAACATAAAGTGGCCCAAGTTGCTTTTTCTTCTTAAGGCTTAATAGGACTCTATTTTTATAGTTTATACAATGTATTCACTACTATGTGAACAAACAAAATTCTAATCTGCCCCATGGCAGGAGATAGTGATAACACTGTAAAGGAATACATATAGTCCTTTCAGATATGCTGTTAAATATGGTAATCCCATTGAATTCTGTGTAATGAATCAACATGATTTTATCCTTGAAATAGTTCATAAATCTTCAAATATCAGAAACTTTCCCATAAGCATATGTTATAACTGCAAAGTTGGAAAATGAAAAATATTCTATAGTTTTATCAAGATTTCTTTGAACGGAAGAATTGGAATAATAATAAGGTACATAATTAACTTGTGCTGCATATTTCACCACCATCCTGGAAGAAGCCACATTTAAGCTTTTCATTTTCTCTTGAGTAGGAATGCTGATGCGCTTTAATATTCACATCTATTTTTCACATGCCATTCATTCTCACAAGGCATTTTCAAAACCATTTCATATCTTCACTTGTGGTTCAAAGTCATGGCAATTTCAAAAACTGTCACTTATTGTTTTGTCATCATTTTGACTTTTTGCAAGAATCTTTCACTTATTTGACACCAGTCTTGTGTCATGATAGCACAATGTATTTCACTGCAGAAGAACGTATGATCACAATTGCACAAAGAATATGGCCTAGATTCATAGTAAGAAAGTTAGTGCATGCTCAGATACACTCTGACTGTAGCAACTATGTAGCTTTGCATGTAGGTATATTTTGCTCTCACAAGATAAGCATGCAGTTTATTTAGATATCAGTGTACTCGGATTTGAATAAAGCCTTTCAAAAAGCATGGTAGCCTCAAACGCTGTACAGGTTATCACAGTGGATTTAGACTGACAATTGTGAGAAAAGTGAAAGAATCAAGTTCTTAATTCACATTTCTTTTTTATGTATATAAAGACTAACACATTAACCTTACTCACATGTACAGAGGAAAACATTTTTGAAATAATTTGTAGTCAACTTGTTGACATTTAACATTGACATTGTTAAAATGAATTTTATGATTTCAGCCTAGTTAGAATTTACAGAAGAGTTATTGACAGTATGACAAAATGCCTGCATGTCAAGTGTTTTCCTCTTCGGGCAACCAAGGTCAACTTATGCTTTATCTGTTATGATGGTTCAGAAATGTTGCTGATATATCTAGCCCATATATTGACTTTACTTTGTGTTGATTAAGGATATAAGCTATGATAGTCGAAAACTGATTTGAAAATATTGCTGAGATCCAAATAATGAATTGTATATGTAAATGAAGATGATGTATTGTGTGCAGACAATCATTCAAAACTTGTGATAAAGATATTCAAATGCAAACAACATAACCCTCTGAATATTAATAATTCCAAATGTTGATATGCAGAACTTGTAAAGCAGGAGTTATCTTCTTTGTTGACCTTGGCCTTGCATATTGGGTGATGTGGTGTGATGTTTGTTTCTGCTAACCTCTAACCGTGTCATCTGTGATGATAGTATTGTCCCTTTCTGTTTGTTTGCAGTTCGAGCTGTTAGATTGAGGGACTGGGTACTAGTATTATACGGGACTGATAGTCATCCATGGAAAAAGCAGCATCCGCCTAATCGTAAAGGCAAAGCCATCACATCCACTCAGGCGCCTGCCATTAACCGCAATACCCACATGTGGTCAACCCAGTCTCCTTATAGACATAAATACCATCGACCCTCAACTTCAAAACCGAGAATCACCACTACGCGTAAGAAAGGGAACAAACACTTTGATTCCAAATGGGCATACAATGTGTATCCCCACCCTTCAAAAACTACTACCTATGTAACTGGCAAATCAAACTTCCGTCATCAGCCACACACATGTGTGTACGAAACTCTTGCCAAAAAGTCCAACATGTCCGCTCTGCAGTACATCAGGATGGTTCGCCCCAACCTGACGGCAGGCAAGACTTAGTGTTGTGTACCTCTCAATTACCTCTGTGGTTGTGGTAGATGTCCTTGGTTTTGCTGTGTTTTCATTGGATGTTGCTAACACTTGCCCTTGTTTCATTGGCTGAGTCAAATGGTTGCTACACATCCACTGGATGATTTGAATTTTAATTTAGTTTTTGCCAGTATTCACTGTCCTGTGATTGGATGATTCCATTGATGTTGCAGTTTGATTGGCTGTCTGATTCAGGCTCCACATCCAGCATGTTCTTCCTTCCTTTGTTGTGATCATTGAAAAGGCTTCACTTTGCATGATGTTCTCGTCCCGTACTTCAGATGTCATCAGCATGCTCATAAACTATAATCTCCATCAACTCCACTTACTTACTGTTACCCAATGTTCAGCATTAACTGTATTCATCTATTGAATTATATATGTTAAAAGATTTGACCAATCTCTCTAAGGTCAGTAATTTCCATTCTGATATTCATTACTTCTCCAATATTACAAACATGAAAGATCTCTACCTTATTCTGACTTTAACTGGTCTCAATTCAAGTGAATAGTTTCTTATCTCAGTTGTGGTTAAAGAAGGTATTTTCATCTCTAGTTAATGATGGTAGTGGACTGTTCTAGCTGTTCATCGCTGCATTATTCTGTGTCCAACTAATGTGGTCATTCAGTTCTGGATGCATTGTCATGAAAGTACATTTCTGAAACTGTCCCCATCTTAACAAACCACATATGCTTGCCTTTGTTTGTCATACAGTTTTCATTTTTGATCAGATAACAACTGCTGATGAAACAGTTTATGTATGTTTGATGACTCTACAGTATTGATATATTGTATTGCTTCTAGTCACCTAAGCATATTTTGCATTACATACACCGACATGGTCATATCAACTTGGAAAATGATAACATTGTGTTTTTGGTTAATTATACGCCATAAGGGACTATCAAAAATTGAATCACAAAACACTTCAAACTAGGACAAAAAACACCATTAATGTTATACCATAGCTAAACTGACAATATGTACTCTTTTGTAAGATATGAAACATAAAACTGTCTTGCCACTAATTCATATTTTACATTGGTGGATGCTCCTTTTTTAACAAATAATCTGATGTTTGTAACTGGTAGATATTTATCAATGGCACAGTCATGAGATTTGATAGAAAAATATGAATATCAAATACATTGTAAACAAATATGCTGATGGCGACCATTGGTAAGTATGACATTATGAAGAAATCGTAGATAAACAACAATCTAAAAAAGAAAAAAATTAACGTGAATAAAATACATCTTATTAGGAATTTGTCTTTATGTCTGATCTTGAATATTCATTGTGAAAGACAGAACGTTGATTATTGATAAGCTGTCTATACACTTTTGACTTGTAACAGTTGGCAAATTTGAGATGGTGTTATGCACTTACAGAACCCCCCAAGCAGAAAAATACAAACAAGCCACAAATGACCCCCACTTTCATTCTAGATGATATCATCTGTTGTAAAATCAGGTTGATTAGGAATCTTTGTAAAGTATGGCACATAACTCATCAGTCCAAGCACAAAAGAATATCATCATAAAAGTTCAATAATATTTTGAACATATTTGAGAAATTTAGCAAATTACACGAATATTCTGGACATGATTCAAGGCCTTACATAAAAAGATGAAAAAATACACTACATATATTTTTTTCAACCAGTCAAATATAATTATTGGATGGGAGACCCGCTCCAAATATACAGCAAACATTCAGAGGCCCAACAAATTATGTTTTCCTAATACCACTGCCTATGATGCTAAAGCAGTTCGGACAAGAAGTTCAATGTCAAATTTTGCAAAAATTGATCCAGCACTGGCCCATCCAGTGATAATTGACTGGTCTATAACTGAGAACATATGGCAGCTTATAAGTTGTATGTCCTTGCTGAGTGTTGTTGGTTGCATGTGTGTTGATGTGTCGCATTGGAGTAGCAGACTGAGGTTTTCATTGATACATGGTGGCATGCACCAATAGCACATATATACTTGTACTCAACTGTCACATAGATAGAAACATATAGTTTGTAAGTAATATGTTGAGTAAAGAACTTCATAAATCATTTCCATGTTTGTAAATTGCCATCTTATTTCATACGTTTTTGGAATATTTAGTGTATTTCATTCGTATTTTTATCACATACAGTATGGTATTCATTTTTCATCATTCACTAAATCTTGTATGTTTTGAACTATTTCATATATGTTAAATATCTCTACATCGCTGTCAAAATGAAAAAAAATCTTACATAAAAATCAATACAAACAAAATTGTAAATTTTAGGGAAAAAATCTATTATATTATATTATTTGGGTATTGATATTCTGTATGGTACATGTAGAAGAAAATGAACAGTCACCTCAATATTCACATTGCAGATGTACTTCATACATAAAACAGCATATGTCAAGTGTGGGAACAGTCATATTTATAGCCAACTGGGGGAAACATTTCAACTTGCCAGGATGTAAATAAATTATCAATCAACAGATTTAAAGATCATTCTTTAAAAAATGAGTTAGACTCTTGGGAACAACCTGGCCAATTTGGAATTGCATGTTTGGCCAGTGCATGACAAAGGCCACCTAACCGATTAACCGTTTCTTTGTCGATGTTATTGCAGTCTCACAGAGCCGCACAGCTTTTGCTTATATCCTATGGTAGATGCCTTTCTCATATTGTAACACTGCAGTTTCATGCAGCAAGGGACTTTTTTCACTTTTCAACTCATGTTACTTTAAGACCATTTTTTGTAAATTTGTTGTTTGCTATGAAAAATTCTATTTGATTTATATGTGCTTTTGCTGTATTTCATTCTGTTTATTTTTCTCTCTCTGAAATTAAAAGTATTTGGCACATTTAAAAAGAATCCTTTTTGAAACTTTTTTTTTCACAAGCACAGTGGTTTGTGATTCAAAAATGATTGTTTTGAAAGCTGTATTTGCCAAAAAATCTTTTCTGTAATACAAATAAAATATTGATAATTATATTTCTTTCATTTGATTTAAAAAAATTATTTTGCAATATTTAACATGCATTTTCCCCATTCATTTGTTTCCCCTTTCTGCATGCAACATCCCCTTCCTGATAACACTGCGTGTTGACACACCCCTACTTACAATCTACCAAAACCACGAAATAATGTTCCAAATTGATAAATATATCTGTAAAAATCTCTGTGGCAAGAAGGTAAGTGCAATGGCTGATGGGGATAGCCAGCTTATGTGAGACTGCTTACCAAACGACTGGTAATTAGTTCATGGCTGGTATTGTCATGCATTGGTTAAGATTTTGAAGTTCACTATTTTATTTCTTGATTGTTTTTGTGTAGCTCTTTACGAAGTATATGCATTGTCTTCATTTTTTCCTTGTATTACTGGTGCTAAGAGCAAATTTGTCATTCAATATCTGATGACATGATAAACTCATTTTCAACAATCAGATGTTAATTAAAACTTGAATTGATGAGTAAGATGGTTTTTTTCAATTTAAGACAAATTCAAGTTTTGAAATTTTGATGACAATACTCACTGAAGACACTTTGAACATGTTGAAAGATGTGAACAGATTGATATATTGAGAACATTAAGAAAGAGAGCACTGTCTTTGCTATTCATATTGCTATTTGATGGCAATCAATTTATTGAATTAACTGTTTATATTTTTCAGCGGAATTAAAAGAATGGACCATGGTTGTCATGGGAACAGGAGCTCATCCTCTGAAGCAGAATGTGACACCATATCCAAAAAACAAGCCACCTTTTACCTGTGCAGGAGTTACCTCCCATGGCATCTGTATAGGTGTGTGTATATTACCTTATCTTGTTCTGGGACTGTTCAGCAGCTTTATTCACATTCCGGGGCTTTCATGACACTTGCCCTTACTCTGAATATCATCATGGTAGATGTACATACAAAGATCACTCTATGGATGGTATGATGGTGTAAGGGTGTGTGTATATTACTGTATAGGTCTGATGGTGTTTTCCCAAGTGTATATTTGTATGTTATGTTACCTCATTTTACTCTGTAGGAGAGATTAAACATATACTGCTGTACATTACCTGTTCAGCTTTAAGTGTTTACATTCGTCTTCTTGATATTTCAAGTATTCCCCCAACTGTGTGTGAAATTAATTGCAATTACTGCATGCTGTGCATCAGATCTTTTCCACTGTTAAAGAGATTAAAAAGTCAACGCAATGAAATTCGAGCCTTAATTCTTTTTTAAGTAGTACAAACTCTGAAAAAATCAATTCCTTCAGTATATTCAGAAAAGTTGAAATTTATTGTATAATTGCTGCCCTTTAATTTTCTGCTGAGAATGGAAACTGAATTAACATGTAATTTATGTAACGTATCACTATATGCAGTTATCAGTCATAGAGAGGCAGTATATCCTGACATATTGGGGTGTTCGAAATTAAGGGAGGGTACACAAGGTTGGCTCCTATATGGTATTTGAATCTAGGGACCCAGAAAATCCTTACCTTCTGACGTTAAGGCCATGACAAGGACCCCTTGATGCTTAATTTCAAACACTGTATTGGGGTGATCATATCATGAGTACTTTAATCTCACATCATGGTGAGATATTACTGACATTCAGTATGCAGTTTGTTCGGGCATTTGTGTTCCTCTGTTGATGAATACCTGTTTGTTGTTTCGATACTTGTGTTACTATATTATAAGCAAAATATCAAACCCTATTTATCTTTTTCATTCATTCTCCATGTTGAATTGAAAAACAGCCTTGGAGTGCATAGTTTCATGTATGTACTCTTGTGAGCTTTTTGAAGACAGCAGGCACAGAATTCCCTTTCCTAGCATTTCACTGTGATGAGTCCAATATACATTAGTTACAAAGAATACTCATATAAGCTTGAACATTTCTTTAAGATGTGCTTGTTTTATACACTGGTATCGGTACTTCTATCAGGAATTTGGAAGTACATTTGGATCAAGCTATGAGTTCAAATAACAAAACATCCATATGTCTTCCACCTTCATATCCTACAGCTATTAACTAACTTCCATGAAAATAAATGTAGTTGTTCATTATATATTTGCATAACAACTGCAATCAATTGAAAGACCAACTTGAACTCATTATTCATGTTATTGGGCAATATGTTAACTATAAGCTTCATTAAGTCATGATTGTTGCCAGTTAAATACATTCATTACAATATTGATGACACGCTTCTCAGTCTGTAGTCATAATATGAGTGAACACTAAAAAGATAAAGTGCTAGTAATAGAAATGTGAAAACTAGGAACCTGGTTCACAAGGGGAAATAACTCTAATTGTGTACAGTGGTAAGTGCAAACAGGACAGGTATTTTTCATCCAAGTTGACCTTCATATCTACAACTGCTTCTAATATTACTACTACATTGATAGAAGCAGCCTTATTAAACTGAGGATTACGAATCTCCAACTTTACTTAAATAAGTGTAGTTAACATGACTACATAAGCTTATTTAGAATGTTGAAGATTATTTGATCAGAGCAAATAATACATATCAAATGAAACAAAAGTATTTATCAACACTGAATTATTGTGTTTAGCATGACCATGTGATTAAGATGAATTGAAGACCTACTATAAAACAATGAGTGTGGCTGTCATCACTTCTAGGCAATCAGCAGTGTTTGTGATTATTGCAACACTTCTGGCAGGAGTTTAGATGTGATAGCCATTTCATTCCACTTTATTGTCATTATGGCAGTTTTCCTGAATCAGCAGAGGGAAGTGTATCAAAGTTATGATCATATAGACTTGCCAAGTTATTGGAGTAATTGTATGGTTGTCTCTATGGAAGCTTTGCGTGTACGTGTGTGTACATGTGTGTGTACATGTGTGTGTCAGGATGGCAGAGTCATAGTCAATCCACAAGTAAAATGAGCTAACGTTAAAAAATTAAAAATTAAGTCACATTTAATCATTGTATTAAATGTTTTTTTAAATGTGTATGACCTTTATGTACAAGTGTTTTGTTTCATTTATTGTTGCACTCCAAGCTACATTTTCAAACCAACAGTTGACTTAGTATGAAAAAGTTCAATAGGTATTCCTGCACAGAATACAAAAGCTTTCCTGTACCCCTTCCATGCAGTAATATGTGACAAACAAGGGGATGGGATGACCACAAGGGCTATTGAGTAGGTATGACTGTTGAGTGAAATCTGAAGAGACCAAGTCTCCATTGTGATCTGGTTGAAATAGCCTGTCATTGTCCCCAGATGGTTTTGATAATTGTTCTCAGCTTTGGTACGTTGGCAGCGCCATCTCTTATTTGAAAATCCCAAACACTTGTCAATATATGCAAGGATGTCAGAGTGATGGGACCAACTGGAACCTGTTTCTTAGCAAATAATGATTTGAAACCATTTTGGCACGTTGCATGCGTGCCATATTTTACAAGAGGTCAACGGTTACTATAGCCTGTATGTTCGTGCCATATTTTATACATTTTGTAAAAGAATAGTACCAATAGGCAAGCACAACAATTGTTAAAAACAGATATGCACTTAATTGGACCCTAAAATAAATCATTTTCATTTGATATGGCTTGACTAATTTAATTACTTCTACAGATTTGTTGGTAAAATATGCCAGAAAGCAATTTCAGGAAATAACAAAAAGCAAACATACAAATTCCACTGTGGATCCCCATTGTCCCATCCCCTAATCATCTATCAGTGTTAATTTTAATTTACTAAATACTTTTTTTAAAAACATACTTTTCGAAATCATGATCAAAACCCTATTCCTTGACATGCTAAATATCAATCTCTAGTAATGTTTTACTTTGTTAGTATTAGGATATGAATAATTTTCTGTTGTCCTCAATCCATAAATAAAAGTTTCAATTGATATATTCAGTTTCAAGGTATCGGTATGTGAAAACAACTGGTCATACAACAAAGGTCAGTCTTAACATGTGGCATTTTTGCCTTCTTCAAATGTGAAAACGTCAACACCAGAGAATCCCCAGTCTCGGTTGCATTGGGTGTAAAAGGCATAATAGTGAGGATAATTAAATGACTGGATCTCTGAAAATCAGTAATGACACCAGGTGTTCGTGAAAAGGGTATGCGTGTCCTGCTCTACTGGTATCACCCCCTCTCAACACAATTTCCTTAAAAAATAACGCTTCACAACAACTTAAATTAGTCCATATATGATATTTTAACAGTACTGTTTGTGTTATTTACAGATTAAGGGGAGCTTTTTTTTCTATCAACTTTTCAATAATAAAAATAAAAATTAATCAATTTCCTGAGCAGTAGACGCCTAGCCCAAAAACTCTTGAAATAACCGAAATTTAATTTATTTCACACAATATTCCTGTTGTCTAAAACTTTTCTGTGGGACATTTCACAGTCATTCTTCTATTCTAAATAGCCAGTATTTATTGAAGGATATTTCATGCATACTTGTTTCAGCATTACACAATTCTGAGATCATGTCACAGACAGAAAATGTGTATTCACTGAAAAACAAAAATCCATGTATTTTATCAGATATATGTTTTTGTTATATCGACTTGCAACATGTTTGAATTTGTTCCTTGACAAGAGAGCTCTAGAATCTACCAGAGAATGTGCACTCATCCTTGCTTCCTTATCTTTGATATAGGGCAAAGTCCATGTAGCATTTTAGTCTTGTTCATCATCGTGACAGGGGAGAATTAGTCAGGAAGGAGGCAAGTTCTAGTTTTGGCACACCAAGCATCCATGTAAAGACCATTATTTCTTCATAATTTCCAATAATTAGCACCCACGCTTTCAATCAAAGTTATCATCATACACTTAACTCCAATATTATATTGCTTCTTTGGAATCAAAACAGCACATGCCGACTAATTAATAGTGTAGTTAAATGTAGTTTAGAAGTTGTTCGAAATTCAAGTTGTAGTATATTATCTTAGTATGTAGGTAATGCATTGATTTCAACAGTAGCTTGTAGATTCTAACTAAACCTTAGGAACATCTAGTACTATGAAGTATTGCTCTACTTTCTATTTTCAACAAAAATGTTTAAAATATTTTTTGAATAATTTTGTTTGTTTGTGTATTGTCATATATTTAAGGAGAATCTAAACTCAATATTCAAGGAACATTAACATAGTGTGTGTCTTGTTTATGGTACATATCTTATGATGATCATGAAAAATCCAATACTGGACAGTAACAGTCAATCATGTATCAAGAACTTGGAATGAAAGGCTTTGATATATTTGATAACAGCAATAATGATGCAACAATGTTAACAATGGTGGATAAGGACCTGTACACATGTATACCCATCCATACACCATGAAGACTATGTCACTAATATGTTCCTTTACACCACTTACCAATGATGCCAATGCTCTTTCTGGATTATAAACTGTAAGCCTAAATCCACAAATAGTCGGTCAATAACATATCATCCAAATCTGTTTTAGGGCTCTTTTGTCATAACATGTTTTTGATATTTTCAATTCAGGTGACATATATGTGTATATATACTTGATAGTTGACAGATAACTTATTTTGTTGAACATGTTTTGTTATTTATCAAACTGTCTCAGTTTTATGTTACATTTTACACGAAATTGATTTTAACAAAAAGAATCTTGATTTACAAGGTTTTAGGTTATTTCTGTAATGAAACAAAGTATGTAGTTATTTCTTGCAGATATCTTGTGCATGCATATCAATTTTTCATGAATTCAATTTTAAAGTAATATTTGAAAATAAGTACTGCATGCAAAACCCTAGGACTATCTGTCTCCATCTCTAGAGCTATCTGTTTTCATTCTGAACTTATTTTTACCATGTGAATTTATCTTTGTTGATGATGAGATGTAAATTTATTCATTAAGCTATTACAAGGATACTTTCCTTCATGACTCGATCTTTACTCAATAAATATGTACATAACGTCACCCTGCCTTTTCTTGCTTTCATTTTGCATGTTATGTTGTTTTGCTTATATTTTGATTTACAAAAGAACATTCTGCTTTTTTGATGAGATATTTCATGTTATTACACTGATTTCTGTTTCACGAATCCATTACTCATTTTATTACATACTCATTGGTTTGAAATACGATTCACATCATAGAGATGTATTTGGCTAGAAATGACTTTTTTTTTAATATAAACTTTTTCATATTAAGTTATGAGCTTTTTCAATTTTGGAAATATCCAAAAGTTGATGAAGCAAAATACAAATTTGCAGTTTCACTTGAATTCAGAAAGGCATTTGCTTGTAAATGATATATTGCTGTCATGATGCTTATTTAAATTGCTTTTTAACATTCAAGTGAAGATGTGCTGTGACTCACTGAGTACACATAGAAGGGAATTACACGCTGTTAACTCAGTCACTCTGACACTCATATGACATTAAACTCATCGCATTGCATGGGAGGAAAGTGAAACTCCTATCACTGACAAATAGAGACATTCTTTGTTATAATGTAGAATTCCAAATTAATTTGTTCTCTTTCAAAAATTAAATGGCCTTGTCTGTTCATATTTAGAAAACACATTGGACAAGTTGAAGTGTTTATCATGATTAAAGTCCTTTACAATTTCAGTAGGAAGTGGTTAAAGCATGGGTCACAGCTTTGAAATTAATCTACACTGCATCTTTTTAAACATTTTCTATTCTTTAGTTGATAAGGGCAAGCTGAAGTTTATATGCTGACAGCTTTTCTTAAAATATGATAAAAACAACAACCTTTCTTATAACTATGTAATTATTATATAAATAAAAAAAAATTCAAAGCATTTACTTAAGATGTTTCAGTTCTGATGAAAATTTCAAAAGTGACATCTGTGGTTAAAATATTGGAATGAAATTATCAAATATTATATGTTATATGACACAATTCTAATCGGACTTAGAGACACCAGAGGTAAAGTTTTCAGCTTGCGGGATAAAACTAAAGATTGCTTCCCAGTTGGGTTGGGTCCTGGTGAGTTGAGCCTGATTTGTTTCAATTCTCTGCATCAAAATTAACACATTGAATGGAACACTTTCAACTGCCTAACATGCATGAACTGAAAAGAGTCATTTAGTCCAAATACAAGTGTTTAGTGTAAAGCTGTTTAAAGAGATATACATCGTGATGGAATTGAATGCTCTGTATGAAATCTTTATGTTATATCTTGTGCAAATTGTGAAAGGAAATATGAAGTTTGATGTCGACTCTGATGCTGATTATTCTGGAATATTCATTCATGAGTCAGAAGGCTTCTAGCCCAAATCTAGAATGACATACCCAATGCCTTGCCCTGGTAATGAGGTTCAAATTATAATGAACAATGCAGGATAATAAAATTGTTGTTTTTCTATTTTGAACAACTTGAGGAATTTCTTTCATATCTGTTGTAGTGTTTCAATCTTTCTGGAATTCTGTTTCTAGTTATTGAAGGATATGCTCATTTTGATTCTTCCTGACTCATATAACACCATACCACCCCGATGGAATATGTTTATTATTATATGTAATAATGCATTTGTGCTTTGTTTGAGTTTGCTTTGTCCAGATTTTAGAGGCTATTTTTAAAAGCATGTGTGCATGTGTTGTGTTAACTCATTGATTACTTCGCTTATATTTTGTTGCCTAGCAAAACTAACAGCACCTGTGTTCATTCCATTTACAAATAGTAGAAAGTTAAGGCATTGTGACAGTATCAGCATGGAAAGAGTCCTGTACTTTAAGTACGATTAAATGAAATGAAAGTTAGAATACTATCAGACAGAGGCATCATTGTACTAAAGCTATATCAAGGTAATAAACTCTATAGGGGTTTTCATTCTTTGGTACACATTTTACGACCTTAGATTCATTATCAGTTTTAAGGCTGGGACAGGTACGATGACTAAAATAATTATCATAATTGAGATATTAGTACAAAATTCTTTTCATCTTCATGGAAATATATTGGAATGTCTTCAATACTTCAAAGCAACATTCACTAACATATACAATAAATGGGTATTAGGTTTGTAGAAGAGAATTTATTTTTATCATTCTGGTTACGACAAGCTTTGATGTTAATATCTGTTTGTACATCTTTCCCATCGTCATGTGAGTGAACTTTAATTCTGTATCTGATAATGTGTATGGCTAGGAACAAAATAAGTTTAAAACAACACATCTTGAAACAGCTGTGGTGATTCGCTCTCTGTGTTCTTACATCTTGTGTTTTTTTTATATTGAAACTGCAGTCAGGAATAGATAGTATTTACAAAAGACAAAAAATCAGTTTAATTTCCTTGACTCTAAGATCCCAGTCAAATTGTTCTCCTAAATCTTGTTGTACTATGATGTGGAAAGTTTAACACTAGACCATGAAAATGTAATAATTTTTCATCAACACATTATCTTTTGCCCTAAAGCCAGGGCTCCAAATTATATTCATTAATCCTGGTATGCTTAATGCAAAGGTCACTATGAGGTTATACATATAATCCGAGAATGCTTAATGCAAAGGTCACTGTGAGGTCACTGTGAGGTATATATATATGTACCTGTATTTATTGCTCTTTGTTTGAAAGTTTGTCAGATTTGTTAGCCCTGTTTTTGCATTCTAAAAATAAAATCCTTTTCTAGTTAGAACCATACATTTTTTTAGGAGCGAGTATGTTTGATTGATGAGTGAGTTCAGGTAGAGATAACCCTAGTAGGTCGAGTGTATGTCAGCATCATGAAATACACACTTTTTTATGTCAATTACTGATGTAGCATGTTGATTATATTTGAAATATTAAATTATGAACTTTGAAACAAGTATTACCAGTTCAGGAAGTTTGTCATGAAAGGATCTGTCTAGATTAGTGTTTGTTCACAAATCCGCTGCACCCGTGGCACGTGGCACGTTTTCAGACACTGAAATGTGTATATATGCTGGTATGAACAGTTTTAAAACTTCTTATTTCATTTCATAACATGTGACTAAGACTTTCATTTAAAGAACAATCTGGAATGAACTAAGAATTAAAAAAGATGATATTGATAACATATTCTCATTTATGGTTGAGAAGTGAAAAATAATTTTGGGATATTTGAGTCCGATCAGACTGTATGGTTTGAAATGAGCATGAAAATTCAAATAAGTGATCATACAAAAACATTTTGCAACAAGTGTTCTTTTTTATACTTTCTTGTAAATATATTTACTGTACATATTTCAAAGTATTGATTGTCTTTTCAATCTTCATACTAGTTTAGACAGAATCCTTTATGCTCTGTACCTTGTTACTTATATACAAGCAGTATTTTTAAATCTTTCCAATCTCATTAAAATCAAATCTTAGTTCTTGCTACTGCTAAACAAAGATCTGAGGACATCCCATTATGTGTCACGTCAGACCGACCTTGCACGAACTTTGACCGACCAATAGAGTGACCAATCAGAAGGCAGCTTTCTCGTGCTTTATGGCACTAATTTCAAATTGGCGACTGCGCTTCGAAACATATTTTGACAAATTCTCGATTACAAATTTAAAACCAGAACAAAAGAACATTCTGGAATGGCTAATAGATGTTCTAGATTGTATGGATTCAGTCGTTAAACCTGTAACTATCGTTCGGAATACCCTGTGTTAAAGTTTTCGAGGTTGCATGATTACAAATCACATTCCGACTGTCACTTTCATAATCTGGTAAGCGATGCTCTGATTGGTCAGATGAAAGGTCGTTCTGACGTGACCCCTAAGGGGATGTCTCCAGATCTTTGTTTAGTAGAAGCGAGAACTAAGGTCTGGTTTTAATGAGATGGAAATCTTTCATTTATGAATGTTTTCTTTTCTTGATACATCATTAGAGTATAACCTGGCATATTGTGATTTTGGGGGGTTCATATTAACATTTACGAATAGATTCAGTGCATATTGTGTGTTAAGGATATTTAGGGTGAATTTGATGCCTAAATGGTTCTTATCAGGCATTGCTCTTCCAGCTAACTACTGTCCATAACACGGATATTCCATTACACTTAACATAATCTGTCTACAACCACATTTTGTGCTATATTCCTGATAACTTACTGTTTGTACTTTACTTGAACGTATTATGAAGAAATTATATATAAATCATCAAGAGAGAATAATAAGTCTTGATTAACTGCTGAAACAGATTCCATTGGGTGTAAAAGTCAAATAGCAGTACAAATAGGATCCCTGAAAAACATCTATCATGAACTAATTACAAAACAAATTAGTTCTTCTGAATTGTCTTCTAATGAATTATTATTCTTTATCTGATGAAACTAGCCATATTCTGACTGAAATGTATGCTGTATGTTTCAGAATGCAAGCCTGGCTACTTCAAGATGTCTGACACCTGTGTAGCTCACTGCCCCCAGCATTACTTCGGCAGTGTTGAGGCTGTGCACCTGGCCCCCATACTGCCCAACTCCACCAAACCCTTACTGCGCACACAGGGGCTGTGCAAGCCCTGTCATGATTCGTGTCTCACCTGCAAGGGGGCACTCCCGGATGACTGTTACCAGTGTAATAATGGTTTCGAGAGGAAAAATGATTTATGTGAAAAGAAAATGATATGGGACTTCTTGGACCCTGATGTCATGAAACATTTAGCCTGGGCAATAATGCTATGTATAGGAGGTATTTTATTGTTTTCTGTCGTCTTTGGAATCCTGCAGGCGCGTGACCAAAGCAAATTGTGCTGGCGGGTAAAACGATATTACGTCCCTGACTTTTCCAAAGGGAGATACAATGGTGTGTCTTCGGACTTCACTGGCGAGGATGCAGAGGCAGGGGCATATTATTCTCGAACTGCTCGTGTTATTCAGCTGCCAAAAGCTTGATAATGTTTGTATATCTAACTAATAACCAAAAGTTTTGTGTGAATGCCAGCAATCATATTCATATTTGGAGATACTTTTCAAGCTGCTCAGCCTCAACATCTGTGCTGTGCCATGTCTATATTGATATATATGGATGGGATGTGTTTTGGGACATCCATACTTATGCAGTGATCCCTCATGTCTGTGTTTGATTGCATTACCATTTATGATGATATAGTGTAGAGGGCAATACTGGGGTGTGTGACTACTATAGTGGAACCTCGTTAGTCCAGGAACAAGAAATACTGGATGATTACCAATCTTTTTCTTGTATTCCATTTTAATGTTGGAATCGATGACATCATGTTGATAGTGCTGGAAATTGAAATGTTGGATTAACGAGGTCCTGTAGTATGTGAACTAAGATCAAAACTATTTTTTCATTTTCTTTCATTCTTTATGAGTATTTATTCAGGAAATGGAAATATTATCATGATTATGCCCTTTTCTGTTACTCAAGAATATACAGAATATTATTTCTCATATTTGTTATCCTTATTTTTTTCCATACTGGAATGTGAAAACTTGATTTGTTTATTATATAAACAGCTGTTTTATACCAAACATAACCATTTTGTATACATACATGCACACATACAGCACACATTTACTATGTTTATATATCATTAAACACAGACATGATTGCATCAGAACCACCTCACAAATTCCATGTCAAACAGAAAGATCTTCATGCAACTGTTATTTCGTCATGAATTGATTTGAAATTTCTCAAGGGAGTGACAGCATTGCAGGGATCAGAACTGGACTAGAAAATCCACCTTTGTGATACTGAGGTTATAGCACAGTCTCTGGTATGCTATATTTAGATCAGATCACAATGATTATTAAATCACAGTGATTAGATGTAGCAATCTAAGTGGAATCGCCTTCATAACCAGTTAATGTGTTAGTTAAGAGATCTGCTTTAACATATTAACCTAGACAATCACCAGTTATAGTCTATGTCCCAGAGCACTGAGACGTGTGGCCTTTGTATCACAAAGTTGCTTCCATTATGAAATTGAAGAGGTATTATAGAACTAAGAAACCATTTGGAAAGGATTCTAAATATTGAACTATGCATGAAATTATGAAATTTGAAGCTCTTCCATATTGGATCAACATTTCATGTTTTAGCTTCAAGTTGTGACATCAACTCTTCTTATTCTTCCCATTGTTTATAGCTCAACCAGATTTTCATAATCTTTAATAATTGTTCAATGAAATCAGTTTTGATAAACTTCAATTAAATTGATATTATCTTCTACTAATAGTTTAATTAATATTTAATCTATGAACCATCTAGAAAAAGGATTATGACTGATATGAGAATTGAGTTCATATTGTGTACAACTCCCTGCGTCTATCCAGTATTCACAAGCCAAATATTCCTTGGTCAGTCAAGATGAGAACAGATCTCTCTTTATACATTTTACATGCATTATGCATGATTTTAGGACAGAAATGTTTTCTTTAATATCCACTGTTAATTATTGAAATATGACCAGCCGACAAACTGGTTTTATGATGTAGTAATTGTTTACCCTTTAAATATAGGAATCTGTCTGAAATGGTATTATGAGATCAGTTTCCTAAACCATTTTTAACACAAGGTTGTGTAGGAACCGATAAGAAATATATACAATGTTATACAACTTGTTATTCATGGAAATAATGGCATGGAAAATAACAGAATCCCTCAACATCTGCCATAAAGATTGTATATAAGAGTGAAGATGCAATTTCTTCCATCTTAAGTGCCAAATATTATCAAAATCATGTACAATGTATATTTAGAAGATCTTTGTTCTCGAACAGCATACTGTCATCGCCATTCAGGTGTCGCCAAGAGGTGTCAATACACTTGCATTGAATCTTCCCCTCATGTGTGGACTTCATTCAATGGGCCTTACTTTGTATATCATGTCATTGTTTATATACCCATCATGTATGTAGTGTGTTGCTGATTGTATCCTAGCCTGTATTGTAATGGATCCAATTCACCATCTCTTTTCTACTTTTTTAGTTGATGTTTATTTTGAAACTTACAAAAGTGTTAGCTGTTATGATTTCCATATTGATTGTAATGTCTTGCCTCGTGTTATTCACTGTTGTAGATAACATCTCATATGTATTTTGTAGTTCTCCATGTGCTCTGTTAATGTCACAGTGTTAATTTATTATGACTTGTGTTCTGGTTGGTTCTCAGTTTTTAGGTTTACAACTGTCACTTAAATCTCAGAAAGCATTTTCCTGTTTTTAGGGACAATGTGAAGAAAGAGAATATTTCAGTAATGATAAAAGTTGTGACAGTTTGATGATGATATAGAATATATACCTATGGATCTCTAGACACTTTAATGTCTATATCAAGAAAGTCTGTTAAGCTACTGAAGATAGGTGATTTCATAAGTGATAGTAGCTTTTCACATGGTTTCTTCTGTCATGATGTATTCCATGAAAACAAAAGTTTTAAAAATGCTGTCTTGAAACTGAAAATACCAACGTTTTGCCATGACAGAATAAATATTTTATATTGTAGTGAGATCGAGATGTATAACAGACTCTTGCAAAAGCACATAAGTTGAATGTGTAATTTCCCCCAACTTATGTGCTCTCACATTTTGTGAAAAGTTAGAAAACATGAAACTAAAGATATATACAAAGTATATATCATAACATTATTGTACCATACGGGTACATGTAGTAGGTATTATGTTTGACATAAATAATACTCTAAGTTAGAATAGAAATAATAGCCTCATACCTCAGAAGAACTGCTGATGTTGACTAGTCGGCCACAGCAACTTAGTTACATGTATGTGCATACTACTTCTACTGACACATTCTTACATGCAGAGGAGGCTAGACACTTTTAAGTGCCCTTTAAAAACTAATGGTCACTACAACAAATCTTTAGATAAAACTCATTTCATTTTGTATTATGAAAAATTGAATAAAAAAAATGTTAATTAATTTGTTGTGGCCTAGATTAGTTCAGTTTTGTGTTTTATGTCATCAGTATTGTTGTTATACTTCATAGTCATTTGTTATACCTCATATTATAATCTGTTTGCTAGTAGTGGGAATAATATATCTTCAAACATAAATTTCATTTATCCTCTTTGTTACGATTTTGTTTTCAGTTTTTAGATACATCTTTCATGTAAGCGTAATCAGTTTCAGAAAGCTGTAACAACTGGGCATGTCACATAAGGGAATATGTACACCAAACATGCTTTGATGTTGATCCAAGTGAAAATTACACAGCATTCAATGCATTCAGTAAACTTAATCTTTTATTGACATAAAAGAGGACTTTGGCTTCAAATTCATGTGCCTTTAGTATCGGCTACCTACACTCAACCTGTCAGAAACTGTCACTGTAATTTGACATGTTTTACACAGACACAAATTGCTTTAAGTAGTTATTGTTAAACACAATTAAGATTATGGTGGTTCTTACAAAAATAGCTTTGTGTATCTGTACTTTGTATAATGGCAATATTAAAATGGATAAATACTTCTAGACATTCAGTGAATTTAAATTATAATAAGAAGGTATTACTGGTTTGTAGTATTTGACATATTTTTAATTATTGGTTTCAAATCACTTATGAAAAGGAAGTATCGTTTTTATATTGTGATGGCAGCTACAATTGTTTGCAACAATATATCAGTCATTTTTGCCGATTTGGTTTAACTGATCAATTTAATAACTCAATAATATTTTAACTTTCCACTAAAATCAAACGGAAAGATCCTCCAGACAGACATGGGATATCATACTCTTTTTTTAATTGGGTCAATATGTATAAAATTGAAAAGCATTCTTGTTCTAAAATGCATGATTGGAAACGTGTAAAACAATCTCATTTTCGAAAGAATCTCTGATTGAGCTGTACCAGATCAGGGACAAATTATAATGTCTCTTGAAGACATTATACATGTTATGTCAATGAACATTATCTTAATTATTATCATATAGTTAATTGACAGTTGATTTTAGAATTCAAACAAAACTAAGATTAATCACTAAAAGGTCTTCACACATAACAATTCTATGACATAACAGTTTATTATCTGGTTCATACTAATATAACCATCAATTAAGTGTATACTCTGTACCTAGATGTTGATACCATTTCATATTTGATTTTCCCAATAATTTTCATATACACCCTGAAAACAATTCTGTACCAGTCTGTTTGATCTAAGGCAAGGATTGATTGATCGTGGAAGTAATATACAAATTATTTTCTTCAGAAAATGAATACTTTATAACTTTATTTCTTGAACAGCTTGTTTTCATGTGTAAGAAAACTTTCTGTTTTATGCCATGCCACTAATTATGTCAAATTAACATCCAAAAGGAATAAATCTCAAATGACTATTCTTCAAATAGTCTGGACAAAATAACAAGCATCAGACTTATCTGACCTGCAATTATGTGTATCTAGCACTGTCAAACTTATTTTATTCCAAAATTGCAACTGTATTTTTAAGCTGTATGTACTTTGCAACATGTAATCATATAGAATGTTTTATATGTATCATTAGACATTATCATTTCATCATGAGAGAATGGTTTTGATATCTCAGGAACCCAGAATATAGTATTCCTTTTAGTTCTTGCATATCTTCGAGTTGCACTTTGTTCACAACAGTAATCTATGATTTATAAATGCACCATGAAATATTGAACATTCAGTAATTTGGAAATATTTAATTACTTTGGGTGGTTGACCCTAATTGCAAGATAATTAGGCACAATAGAGATGTACAATGTATATCCTAATTTGAGATACATAAGAATCTTTAACATTACGTACCGCACCAGGGAAATATGATGTGAGTTGAGTACATATCTCAGACTGATTTCATAACATATCAAGAATGCAATAATCTTAGCTTACAGATGTTATTCTTGAACTCTAAGTACCACTATCTATAGAACGAGAATAATTGTTATCCAATAATGGTTTATACGAACTACTGGCAAAAGGGCATGTTACAAAACTCAGGTACACGTTGATAATGCTATGTGAACAGCCTCTGCAAGAAAAGATATCTTACTAAATTTATTTTTAAGGAGTGTGCATCATTTACCCCTAAAATTGATGTTGACATTATCAATTGATATTTGTTTGCTTTTAAGTTATATTGTAATAGTAACCAAAGAGACATAAGTATGGCCAAAGCTACAAAATCCATAACTGACAAGCTATGTGGCAATAATTGAAACACTGTAAGGGTAACCTAGTAAGGTGTGATTGCAGTAATATTTTATTGATAATTTGAAACATCATTATTTCTTACCTATTTTAAAACTTTATTATATTTTGTATGATTGATGGTCTCTTCCATCATAAATATATGGCTTATATCTAAATAATTCAAGTGTATTTAAGTAAGTCTCCAATGTCATATATATTTGCAGTTTGAATCATTATGCTAGTATTCATAAAATATCATATTTAAAATATTTGGTGACTGATGCTATTAACATTGCAAAATAATACACCTATAACAGTGTTTTGTGTAAATGTTGAGGTACCAAACATTCTGTTGGATCACTCCACACATGCTATATAAGTAAACACATGCCTTGCTTATTAACAAAATTACATTAAATTGTCAATAAATGATATCAGTAATATGAAGAAGTGATGTTTTGTTAGCTATTTAAACTTTAGATATTTGTATTACAACCAAAAAGCTAATACTCTTAAAGGCTTTTAACTTTTGATTTATTAGGATGCAGTTACATACAATTAACTTGCCTTTGCATGTGTTTGCAATGAGTGCAACCAGTGAGGCAGGATAAGTCCACCTATTTGCAAACACCTGGTATCATTACTATTTGAAAGTGATTCATAAACAAACACGTGATATAGTCTGAATCATACAATGGACTTGGCAGAGATTTCTTATGATTATGGAAAGGGTTTTGTTTCTTTTATTTACATAATGATTTAAAAATTACACTTAGTATCAAATTTAGAAACAACAGAATCATAATGATGTGAGAGTGTCCAGAAGTATTCCATAAAGGAAGATACGTACCAAGCTGCAGATAAAGCAAACATTTTACATATTGGCACTGTATGTTTAAAATTAATCACCAATTACTGGAGTTCTAGTTATTTTACAGCTAATTACGGATAATGGTTTGATATTTTTCATAGCTCAATTAAACATGATATGCACACACTAAAATTGGCTGCACTTTAGAAAATCAACTAAATAATTACTTAGCAGTTTTGTATTAAGCATACATAGTTGTACTAATTAATACATGTATTTCAAAGTATTAACTTTTGTTACATGCTTGATCAGTGATATTGTCACTGCTTTTCCCTGTATTATTCTGAACATACATTTTGTAAATAATAGTCATTTATTTCATATTCTCTATTCATCCAGGTTTGTTTTAATTTAACAGAGTGAACTGACATTTTGTATCAGTGTAGACACTCATTTTGCTATCATAGAATGTTTTTATGTCTCTTTTCCTATTGAAAGATACCAGAAGGTGAAGGTATTTTCTTTTAGTTAAATAGATATTAAAAGTTGTTACATACTAACGTCATTTAAACATGTTCCTTGTTTTATGTCACAAACCATGTAAAGCCATTTGCAACAGTTATGTTATACTGACAATAGGTATTTCAAGGCTGAAGCATAAACCGGTTCAAAACAAGTAATAACTGTAGACTTTATTGATTGCAAATGTGTCAAGGACAACTTCAGCAACATTCTGGCTCAGTTGATAGAACATTTACCATGCATGTGTCTAGGATATGCTATTAAGTAATGTTAATAGTTGTCATCACCTTTACCCATTTCTAGAATTGCAATCAAATAAATTGTTAACTGTTTGGTAAATAAATCCACAGGACTCATGAAATCATTATGATAAATAAATTGTTATCATTAGAATTATATTTAGGAATTGATGTTTATTTTAATTATTATTTATGTCTTCACATTTAATTCCCCTACATTGTTTCTTGAGAGAGATTACAATTTGTATGTATCATCAGATGGCTGTTGATTACATTTCTACTTAATTTCAACATGGATGCTTGAACAGAACAAAGAAGGCTTCACCATCAAATTGCCCATACAGTTGTCTTATGTCAAAGTGCTAACTTAATTCAATTGTTCATACTCATGCCATGTTTATATATTTAGTTTATATGTAAATGATAATATTTCATTTTTGGAAAAGGGAGAATTGTAAATAATTCAACAAGAAGTTCTGTACAGTTAACTCATGCGATTTGTAATCGTGAATGATTTGATTGCCTTCAGCTTTGACACTAGTTTTGCTGCTTGTATGGACCTGATGCAAGTGTAGTGTACATCTGTTTGTCAGTCTGTCAGTCTGTCTGTCTGTCTGTGTGTTTTGAAAGGGCTGGATGTGATGTATACCTGTCTTGTATTTCATCATCCAATCATATGAGGCTAAGTATAGATATTGGTTTCATTATTGTACCACATGAACTGTATGGGAATAAACTAAATCATTGTGACAAGCCCTCTCTCGTGTTTTCCTTTTAAAACTTGTTTATTTTGTACATAACAAAAGTTATTTGGGCATGACCTTGAGAATGACCTTAATCAAAGGTGCTCTACTGTACAAAGCAAATGAGTGGAATCCTGCTATCAGAAATATATTGAAACCTATTTCAGCTGTAGATCCCAGGTTTTGATAAAGTTGAGTTGAGGGGGGTAGGGTGGACATAATGCACAAGTCACAAAGAGACTTAAGGTGTCTGGTGCTTCACTCCTCTGGACCTGCCAATGTATTTGGATGGAAATGCTGAAAGCCCTAATTGTCAAAACCTACAAGATTCTTTAGTTGATATTAAGGTGGCATGGTAGTATTTGTTTCACTGACACATTCCCTCCTTGATAATCACATATGGAGCTCAATGACATGAACAAGAAATTAATGTGAATCAATTTTTGAAATACACATGTGTTCAAAGATTGAACCCACACCTGGCAAATAATTGTAAAAACAATATCTCCGCCCTTGTTTCAGCAAGTTCAGCAAGGTTTACATCTGTGCAAATTTCCTGTATTGTCCATAAATAAACCTTCCTTAATTTGATCTCATTTTTTTTTCAACATGTTTTTAAAAAACAGTTACATCTATATCTGGATCGCAAGGTCAATATGTGTGCAAAGATACATTTGGATATTAGCTGCTACATGCTACATTTTGAATTTTGATCTAAAAAATGAAACCGCATGATAGAACATTTGTTTCTGCCAACTTTGTTGTGGTGGGCGTTATAACACATTATAGCCAGGGATAGACACGATCACAAGACGGGACAAATTTGTTTCTCCCAAAATCTAGTTATTTTCCATAACTTACAAGTTGGATATGACCAATGGTCTCTACCCCTGATTATACCTATTTATTTCATATACATATTACATACTGACATGGTTAGTTTTTAGCTGTTAGTATCATCTGGAAAGAATTTTGCTTAAAAATCACCATATGAATTTGTGATACATATGTTTTACAGGCCATTGTTCATATAATATACTACAGGTCAGCATCTAAACAGACACAAAGTTTCCCACCTACAAAAAACACCATAATATGATATAAAGAAAACAAACTATCAACCGTACACCATGTATTTTACATGAACATGCATTTACAGTTTCAACAAATAATAAAGTGACATTTAAACACATGTGGAACATTTCACCATTCTCATCAGATCATGACATATTGACATTCTCACAAGATCAAGATGTGACTTCCTCACCCAACATTCATCCATTTAACAAGTTGTACATTTCTATATTCATTGCATCATGTACACAAGGTCAAGGATTTATCCAAACTAAGGATAAAAAGAATTGCTCCAATTGGTCAGTGACATACAAGTCAGCTGTACAAAGATATAACATTAGCTATGACTATGTAACAAATATTTAGTGACATTTGCTGCAGACTTAAGGCTGAATATCAGCCTCAAGTAGGCCAAGATAAATCTCTGAGATCATTAAATCTTCAGACCCTGGAGTTGAAGTGATGATCACAGACATGTCACAGGCAGTTTTGAATGTGTTTGGATGACTTCTCCCTGGCTTTGGGGATAAGTGGTCAATGTTTAATTGACTTTTTTCATATCCAATGGGCACTAAACTTACAAACAGCATTCTCACTTAACAGGTATCCCCGTGGGTAGTCTTTGTGGCATTGTCTAGTGATCCTGCGAGTTATGCCATCCCCAGAAAATTCATAAAATTACAGTTTCCTTGTTGTATAAAGTATTTTTTTTAATTATAGAATTACAGTTTCAATTTTCTGAAATTATGAATATCAGTTGTGATTTATTTTAATATGGTAAACATGATGGCACTCCCTGTGGCCATATTGTAAAGAAATATAAAACAAGAAAACTTTCAACACGACCACAAATGCTTTATTCATCCAATAAAATTTACATACAAAATAATTTTCCTAAAATGTTTAATCGACAAAGGCATGTTAAAAACAATATGAATTCCCTGTATTAATATCTCTGACACCATGTTTTAACTACAATGCGATTACCTCGATACATACTGAATTTTATTAATAATGATCTTCACAGTAAATGAGTGGAGGCTGGAACAAGTCCAAGCTACATTCAACTTGTGATGAACTGTCATGCAGGCACTACGTGCGTTCAATTATTAAAATTTTAGTGAGCTGAGTCAACCGAGATTACAAAATTTCTGGCAACCAGGGTTGACTAGATTCAGCTTGAGTAAACCAGTGTTAATCAAGGAAAACTTAGGGCAGTATCCAAAATATACGCATAAACTGAAACCTTAGCTTCAATGATGGCTGCCAGGACACAGAGAAACACAACATCCACGTTCAACAACACACAATTATCAGGTTTGGGGTTTGATCCCCGGCTGCATCATACCAAAAGACATTAAAAGATGGTACTTGTTGTTGTCCTGTCTGGCGCTCGGCATTAAGGGGCTAAAACAAGGACTGGTGGGCTCGGAGTCAGTATACTGTGTCTGAGTGGGGTATTCATGTTAAACTGCAGCATGGTATCTCAGTGAGCTAGCACTATAAATCGGCATCAGTCCGGACTAGTACAAGCAGCCACACAAACACATACACATGTACATGCACGTTGCTATATAAGTGCAATAATCTTGGATGCGACGTTAAACCCAATTTCACCTCACCTCACCTGGGTCATCCGTTTTCAAATCGTATGCAAGCACTGTCTCCTCATTGTTGCGGTAAATTTTCTTACAAATGTCATGTATTTCAGGGTTTATATAAAATATAACAACATATTGGTAATTTCATATGTGTGTATCATGAATGATATGTTTGTAAACACAACACAAAGAAATGTTTAAAAGTAAAAAAATAGAACTGCATTTACTTTCTGTTCAATTGCCCTTCAGCCAAATATTCAATTACCCATCTAAAGTCCCGTGCGACGTGGAACCACTTCATTCAAGGATTCAAGGGATAAGGGTAGAGTTGGTAGTACTTAACCTAAAATATAATTAAGTACCGTAACCAGAACACAACTAACCAGAAGGGCAGTTTTTCTTGGAGATTTACATCTAGATCAACATACATATACATACACATATATATTTATGTGCCAGTTTGGGCGTGTATACATACCAGCTGGGACACCTTGGCTAAAGCTGAGGTCTGTTCACTGACAGTGAATGTGCGGCACCCAAACACGACATTTACCTTGTTGAAATTTGATCGTCTGCTTGGAAAGGGGAGGTTACTCTTAGTCAACCGCTTTGGTGCGATGTGTTGATTTTCGTCGTCGAACGATACAGGCTCAGTTCCATGGTAAACAATACCATTTCAGAACAGTACATAAGATATTACCCAAGAGTACACCCTGCGAGGCAGAAGACAAATGTAGTCCATTGGGGCAAATTCTGATAGTGTTAATAATCGAGCCTGGACCGGACAATCCAGTGATTGATATCATGGCCATCGATCCACGCAATTGGGATAGTATTACGATGACATGCATCAACCAAGTCAGCGATCCTGACATCTCGATCCCGTTAGTCGCCTCTTACGACAAGCATGAGTTGCTGAAGACCGGATCATCACGAGTTGATATTGGTGAATATAGTTTCACAGAACCATTGGCATTTCGGTGAAACTACAGTTATACACATATATACTCTTACACTATTCATACACGAGGGAACCGGATACATCATAACGTTATTAGAACAATACAAAATAGCTTAATTAATATTAATTATATCGAGATGACCAAACTATTCCCTACTACATACATATTATAAAGCTTCCGCTCGTTATAATACTATATTTGTAACTATTACATTGTAATAAAATATGTATCTTTTGGGGATCATTCTGGTAGTGTGTGTGTGTGTATATATATATATATATATATATATATATTAATAATTAAATAAGTGGAATAAGATTGAACACAGTTTCAACTGGCTAGCGCTTTCAACTCGTACCGAGTCTCATCAGGCCATAACTGAATAACGGACATGAAGTAGTAACATATAGTTACATGACGTCAAAACATTTAGGAGAACTATGACGTCACAATACCAAGATGACAATGGCCAAATCACACTCCGTCGCAGTGGTGACTCAGCATAACACCACTGCCACAGGCTAATTTGCATATCACGTGACCGGACTTTTCTCTAGTTTGTAAACAAACGCGCTTTTTCAGAAATCAGTATAGAACGGACTAATGCAAGTATTTGGGGGCGCTTTCCATATAGTTTTGCATAACTATATAGATATGCTACTACAACTGCGACAGTGAGTTGCATGACAATATATATTTATGCATCAAAGTGACCGTGTCGCTGGCTCTCCGTTGGGCTTCGGTGACAGCACGTGGAGCCGTACAACCAATGTAAACATAGGATAACTACGCAAAAACAAGTAGAATTTTACGTATTTGCATACCTTCTCAATGAAAGTTAACCATTCTTTGACATTTTTTTATGAAAATGTGTAGACTTGTCAAACATGAAACGGATGAAAAGCATATGCAATATTTTGAATGGACTGTGAAAGATGTGACGAATCGTCACATGGCGCTGGCCTGTGGCAGAGGTACTATGCTAGCTGGCTGCCGGCCGCATGGAACTCTGGGTAGGAGAGTGTGGCCAAATAACTTACGCCTTTACATTTAAAATAGGCGCGTATTTATGAATGAAATGTTGCTCTTTTTGAAACAATGTAGGTTCATGACCAAAATTTAGCTTATATAGCGGGAAAACTAAAAAGTTGATGCTTCCACATGTATCTATATGTTCACTGAGTGGAATCGTGCGGTTGTGTGGCTGCTTTATTTGTGAACGGTGAAGATTCATTCTTCTTTTAAATTTAAGTTCTGTCTTTCCGATATACTTTTCATTGCATCCACTACAAACAATGAAGTATCGTTGAACCATGGATAATGTTTTTTCATGATTAGGGTTGAAGGTAGATACTAGAGTTAAATTATTCCCC